TTTAAATCAAGTATTTTATTTTTTGTGAATGCCAGATTCCAATTTCTACTTTTACTTTTTATTAAGAAAAAAAAGTGAAAAAGAGATATACTTAAATTTAGCGTTGAAAAAAGACTGATGCATGCGCATCATTCGCGACACCCTGGATCCGCCCCTGATATATATATATATATATATATATATATATATATATATATATATATATATATATATATATATATATATATATATATATATATATATATATTCAATTAATAGATTTTGAATACAACTAAGATCTATTAGCATTTTTTTCTGGAATATGGCCGTCTAGTAATGCATTTTAATACAATCAAACAAAACTTAATTTATATCTATATTATTTTAAGCAAATCTTTTACCAAGAAGTTTGCTGAAACTTCTTGGTCCAGTTCAAATAATTTAAAAAGAGATTGGTCACCATCAAGTTATTTAAAAAGAGCTCCTAACAGAAGTCCGTTTTGATAGAGTGCGTACCCAATACGGTGAATTTTTTTCTTTAATAACTCTTATTGTTTTACTACTGAGCCACTTGTTTGTCCAGTATTGGCAGCAATATTATCTAATATACGACGTCTGTATCCAACCAAATAATGATGTAACTTTTACACATTTTTGATGGGTGGCTGCTTATCGGCAAAACATAAACAAAGACGTCAAAACAATATTGGCGCGACGTTCTTATTTGTACCTTTTGTTTCCGTTCCTCTGTTGAGCAGCCAAATTTTAAATATATATATTTACATATAGGCCGAACTTGAGTCACATAAGGAAAATAAAGGTTGTACACCTGTACTAACAAAAAACAAAGTATCAAAAAACTTTATTAAAACTACGAACATTTTAGAAAAAGATTTAGCACAGTATGTCATCCATAACAAAAAATCAATTTTGAGTACTTTATTATACAAAACATAAAAGAAAAATGTTAGAAAAAAGGCATGTTCTAAAATTGGAGGTTAGCCCAAAGTTTACCCATGTTTTTACCTCTTTTTTACCTGTGTGACACATTAAAAAAAATTTGTCATCAAAAACTGCCTTTAGAAATATAAACGTTAGTTTTAACTAATGAAAATAAAACACTTCTAAAAATCTCTTTTATTGGAGTTAAATAAATTACTATCATCGTTAGTGTTTTATTTTAAATGTATAATTATTTAAATAAAAAAGTCATTTTTATTGTGTAAATGGATTAAGTTGTCCGGAACCCCCTCAAAACATGTGTCCGATCATTCCTCATTTACAAATATTTGTTTTAAAATCAGTGAATTAAAGTATTAAACGAGTTTTTTATATAAATACTGTTAATAAAAAAGTATCTTTAATCAATAATAAGTTATTAGTTTACATAAAAATTAAATATATTATTGTGGGAATCAACTATGATGATATTTCACTCTTCTGGTTATGGGAAACAATATCTTGCACTTCTAGCAAATCGCTTCAGTGTATTATGATAGATGTTTTACATATGCCATAATTTAACTCAGATAATTTTATTTTAGTATTTAAAATCAGATAGCTTCTTTAATTTAAGTTGTAGAGAAAGTGTCCGGAGTTACTCGCCATCCGTATTCATCTTACTTTCCATATTTATTAGGAGTTTTTACACTCTACGACTATATTCGTTTTGAATTTATTTCTTCTATTATCACAAATTCTATAACACAAACATAGGTTTTTAGAAAGGTTTGTAGAACTTGATATATAAGGTTACAATAAGACAGGAAATAGTTAAATACTTTTATATCATCATAAGTTATACTTAATTATAAACATTTTAATTACTTGTTGAAATATTTTAAATATGTAATAAAAAATAATTTGAATTTTAAAAAACACGCTTAAAAGAAAAGTTTAAAAATAGAAAAACTATCGAGCATATATTAAAACGTGTGCTCTATAGAGAACAGGTTTATGGTTATGGTTTCTGCAAAAACCATAACGGATGAATTATTTATAGTTCATGCTGAACAAACACCAAAATATAGTACAGTTGCAAAGCGGACTACTTTATTTAAAAGCGGCCGAAAAAAAGTCTCAAAGATGACCACCCTCAAACCACGTGTACAGCTGAAAATATAGAACGTGTGCGAGCCGTTATTGAAGAAAATCCTCACGCAATTCGTGATATAATTGAAGTTCTGATTATCAAATTCTTTTTAAACGCTTTATTAAAGTCATCTTTAAAAGCCAAAACTCTTTTTTATTTCCAGTAACTTCTAAGGTACCTCAATGGACCAATCTATTCTTGGTTCTGTTTTGTTTCTCATCCAAATTAATTATCTTCCCGACAACCTTTCATCTAAAGTACCTCTTTTTGCTGCTTAGAACAGGCAGCGCTTAGAAAAAACAGAAAATCTTGAATCTTACCTCTGTAATAGGTTGGCATCACAGTGGCTTGTTAATTTTAACTCCAACAAAACTCGGTTATTTACTGCAAACAACTATCACAGCACTGTCAATATTAATGAAGAAGAGTACTCTCACTGAGTCCTCTTCTTTATGTCTTTTTGGATTATCGTTTACTACCCACTTTTCATGGAAACCATATATACTATTGATTGCTAAATTAGCATCTGCTAAGGTTGCTTCTCTTTATCGTGCTTGCCCTTTTCTCTCTCTCCTAATTATATTCTTTACATCTACAAATCTTTTATTTGTTCATATGTGAAATACAGTTGTCATATCTGGGCTGCTTCTTATAATGATGCTCTTTCTTTTCAGTACACAGTCAAAAAATGCAATTTAAACGTAGTTGAACCCGCTCTATCTGCTAAGCTTGAGCCTCTTTCTCATTGTTAAAAAGCTGCATCTCTTTTTTTTTCTACAAACACTATCATGGTCGCTGCTTAAAGGACCATTCATCTCTAGTTTCATTAACTAAAACTCATTCCTGCTCGCCATTCAAAAAAATTTCATTCTTTCACTGTATCTGTGCCAGGATCTAAAATTTTTTATTCTTCTAACTTTTTTCCCTTTCCCATCATTATTTTCCTGACTCATACAACCTTCAATTTTTTAAGTCTTCTGTCAACTGTTTTCTTGCTGTATAACTTTATTCTTTTTTTCTAGCAGCTTCTAACTTAATAGTGGTTGGTTGCAGCCTTGTTGTGAGAAAATTAGATTAAAAAAAAACTCAATGAACCCATAACTGTTTTCAATGCGTTTCTTAATGAAGACGTGATCGATGCAAGTCATTTTCTTGATAAATATTTAAAAGTATCACTTTCGAGCTAATTATTTTTAGTTTTAATTATTCATTCTCTAAAAAGAATAGAAAATCTAATTTTGTTTTTAAGGAGAAAAAAGTGTATGTTTTTAAGACACGTTTTTTTGAGAAGGATGAGTTCCATTGATCAGTTGTTTTTAATTTTTTGATAATCTGCTTAATACTCGGAAATATAAAAAAAAATGTAAACATTTTATGGCTTTTATAATTGTTAGAAATTACAAACAAAAGACAAATCGTAGAAATTGGGATGAAAGCAATATGAAATTTGCTATCCAAGCTGTCAAAATAAAGTAATGACATTAAGTAAAGTTGCTGATGAAGTTTTGGCGCCAAAAGGTTCTCTTGGCAGAACAGTAGATAAAAACAATTTCTGTTGATAAATCTAAAATTGCTTGATTCTTATAAAAAAGCGTTATCTAATACTCAAGGAAAAGATTTTGCACAGTGTGTAATCCAAATAGAGTTTGTCTTCTAAGGTCTATAAATTAATAAACTCCGAGAGGTGGTTTATGGCTTTGCAGTACGCAATAAAAAAAACAACCATTTCTTATTTTTAATACTAAAAAAAAACTTGCAGGTTGAGACTTTACAGCTAGATTTTTGAAACGACAACCCTTTTTGTCTATTCAAAAACCTGAGACAGTATTTTAAATGGAGTTTTTGGTTTAAACAAAGTCGCTGTTCAAACGTCGCTTTTCAAAGATATTTTGATAATCTGGAAAAGCTTATTAACGAAAACCAATTTGAAAGAAACTGCATCTACAACTGCGATTACATATAGTTACAAGCCTTTAACAACTGTTATACTAGCTTTTAATTATTTAGGACAATACATACCTCTTATGATAACTTAAAAAAAAATGAATGCTAGATTCATTGATTGATGATGCTCAATCAGGAACAGTTGAACTCTGTTCTAAAAAAAGGTTTGGGTAGAAACTAATCTGTTTATGAAATTTATAAGACACTATGCAATACATACGAATTGTAGCACAACAAATAATGGTTTGTTAATTTTTGATGGTCCCAAACCACGCACCAAAAATCTGGGTTTTTTCAATTATGCTAATTATGATAATTATAATAATGGAAAGTAATAATGGTATGCATATTTTATCACTTCCGCCATACATCCCATAAGTTCTAACCACTGGATCAATTATTGTTCAAGTTTTCAAAGAGTGATTGAAACTCAAAATGCACAACATGGAAAACAAAGCACCCAGGAAGAAGAATTACAATTAATATTCTCTCAAAACTGTTTTGTCAAGCTTATGTGTAGGCAGCTACAGTTAAAAAAGCTATATAAAAAGTTTTGATTAACAGGCATTGACCCTTTTATTCGAGAAAGCATTCCTGAGTTAGATTAATTTGAAAATTCGTATTTAAAAGATAGTACGTAATACAAACATAATACTTAATGAGCAGATATCCTGAACAATCAACTCATTATTTAATTGTACCAAAACAAAGTTCAAATGTTCAGTTGATGAAATAAATCCTTTGTTGTAAATATCAAACTCTCAGAAGATTTTTTACCAATTGCAACTATCAAAGTGAAGACAAATAAAAGAAAGGGGTATAAGTCAGAATTTTGAGCGATTCATATAAAAATATATTACATGAGGGGTTAGAAAACAAAAGATACTTTAAATGGAAGAAGAAAAGACAATCAGAAAAAAATAGATTAAACTGAAAAAAGTTGATTAAATGCAATATGAAAAAAATCTACACAGTCAAAAATATAATGCTAATATTACGGTTACATAACGGTAAGTGAAAAATTTTAGCGTTATGCTTACAAGCATCTTAGTAAAAATATATTAAATATAATAAATAATATATTAAGCTTCATTTTCCCCAAATTTATTTGTTTATATATGTTAGTTATAATACTAGTCATGTTAGTTAAATTTCTTATTAATATGACATCATAGATATAATTGTAAAAAAAGCGGCAATTTGTTTATATGTTTTATATGATAAAGTTGCTTTTATATATAAGCGCACACACATACATATATACATACACACATACATATATACATACCTACATACATACATAAATACATACATACATACATACATACATACATACATACATACATACATACATACATACATACATACATACATTACATACATACATACATACATACATACATACATACATACATACATACATACATACATACATACATACATACATACATACATACATACATACATACATACATACATACATACATACATACATACATACATACATACATACATACATACATACATACATACATATATACATACATACATCATGGTGGTAAATCGGCTAGCAATTAGCTAGCTATAATCGTAACGATAAGACAGCAATTTGGCCGCGAGGATCGCTAGCTTTTTTAAGTTAAAGAAAAGCTATCGATATTTGTAAGGATAAAAACAGACATTTGGCTAAGATGACAGCCAGCTTATTAAGCTAAAGACCCACTGGCTATTGTAGCTAGCGCCATATTGTAATAAAGTTGTTGTCTAAAAAAATTTGATATGTAGCTATCAACCAGCTATAGACTTGTAGATATTTTGTAGCTAGCTACAAAGCTACGATATGTAGCTAGCAACACATTGCTACAAAATCGCAATGTTCAAAGTTCAATTATCCTCATAATTATAATAGATTCAACACAAAAAATCGAATTTTTAGAGATGTTAAAGGCATTAGGAAATAATAAAATAGGAAAAAAAAATCGCTAGAAAATCGCTATAAAGCTAGCTAGTCGCTCGCTAGTTACTAGCTCATTTCCCACCGGGATACATACATACATACATACATACATACATACATACATACATACATACATACATACATACATACATACATACATACATACATACATACATACATACATACATACATACATACATACATACATACATACATACATACATATATACATACATGCATACTTACAATAACTATCTTAAGCTGACTTTTTTCGTGATTATCTTTGTGTTGGCCCTTAGGTAGAAATCTTTCATTTACCTGCTGACAAATGTGCTTCTTTTGTAATTTCTTAAATTTAGACTGGCATAGAATCTTATACTTTCTCTCGACGATTCCAAGTCGTCTCACTCTAATCCATCGTTTTCCTCTTTTTGCCTTTTTTTCTTCCTAGTTTTTCTTCTTTCTCACTCTACTCCATGGTTTTCCTCAAATTCTTGTATTTAATCTCCAAAGTTAGGCTCTAGAGACTTCTAGAATATTTTTAACATTATTTATAAAAGCAAATTTCTTATTCCTTCTCTCTTGCATGTTTCAGATTTTGTTACTTCACCGATCACAAAACTGAATTGTTTGCTATGAACATTTCATCAATCTCATCTCTTGATTCCACCAATTACATCCTACCTGACTTAGCTAACAAACAGATTGATCCATTGCTTGGCATTCGTATCACTCCAGCTTTTTTAACTAAAGTGGTTTCCTGCTTAGACTCTTTTACAGCTTGTGAACTGGACAACATACCTGTTATAGTCTCGCAAAAGTGTTCTCCAGAGCTGTCGTCGATACTTTGAAAACTATTTAACAAATACTAATCAGAGTTTGTTCTCTGGCCAGCTGGAAAGCGGCATCTGTTATTCTTATTTTCAAAAATTCTGGAGAGCAGTTTGACTTGTCTAACTACCGTTCCACCAGTCTTCTTCCTATTATAAGCAAGATTTTTGAGTCTTTAATGAATAAACTCTTGATTTCTGATCTTGAACTTAGTAACTTACGTTCTGATCATCAATATGGATTTCGATCTTTTCGTTCTACTGCTGATTTGTTAAAGGTAATAACGGATAGGCTTTATCGTGCATTAAATAGATGTGGAGAGTTTGACTATCGCTCTCAACATTTCTGAAGCCTTGGATATAAGTTAGCGTGCTGGTTTTCTCTATAAGCTATTTTTTAAAAGTGTATCTAGTGACATTTTTAAGATTATTGATTATTACTAATTGTATTAATTGTTGTATAAAAGTTATTCGATCTAAATCAACAGTACTCTCCTTCATTTCTTGTAACTTCAGGACTCTCCTTCCTTTTTTGTAACTTCAGGGGTTCTTCAAGGTTCTATTGTTGGCCCTATATTTTTTTAAATTTACATTATTGACCTCCCTGAAATTTTTAAATCTAAGGTGGCGTTGTTCGATAATAACACAACCATTTATTCTTGCCTTGATAAGAAGCCTCTGAACACTCGGAGGAGGCTTGAAAAAGATAACTCTTACTTTTGATCTTTCTTGGAAACTATATGTCAAATTAATTGCAACATTAGCATCTGCTAAAGTTCTTACACCGCATTCTATTCTTTATCTCTATAAATCTCAAATCCGTCCTAGTACGGAATATTGTCGCCATATCTGAAGCCGATCTTAGAATAGTGTCCTTTCTCTTTTAGACAAGTGGCAAAAACGCATTATAAACATAGTTGGACCTGCTCTTGCAGCCAACCTTCAATCATTGTCACATCGCCATAATATTGCTTCTCTTTTTCTTTTCTATAAATACTTAAATGGACTCTGCTCTAAAGAGCTAGCGCCTCCTGAGTTATATGCTAAAATTCATTTTGACATTATTCATTTAATTAAGTCTCACCCCTTTACTGTGACTGTCCATAAGTGCTGCAAAAATTCTTATTTTTTAGTATTTTTTTATTGAGTATTAGCTCTTTGGAATTCGCTTTCTACTTCGTGTTTTCCTGATTCATATAATTTTTATTCTTTTAAGTTGTCTGTTAAACGTTATTTTGCTTTATAAACCTCATCTCTATTTTTCCAGTAACTTTCAACTCTAATTGTTGTAGCTTGCAGTCTTGTTGGATGTAAAAATGTTTTTAAAAAATGTTTCGAAGTCTTGCAGTTTTAGAAACAAATTAAAGCAACTTGAAAAATTGGGCCTCGATTGCTATGAGCGGATTAGTTTAAGTCAGAGTTTCAAGTTATAGGGGCAATTGTTACCTTAAAAAAAGACATTAGAAAAAGAGAAAATAGTATTATTGCCGTTAAACAATGATATTTTCGTGCACTTGAACGAAAACGATAACGAAAAAATAAGCCTTCTGTTAACGAAAACGAAAACTAGAACGAAATTTATATTAAGAACGAAAAAAAAAAAATTAATTAATTTTTAAAAGAAGTAAAAGCTGAATTGAAAATTATTAAAAAAAAAAATATTTTTGAAATTTTGAAATGAGTTAAATTGTTTGATGCATATAATTATTATAATTTAATCGCTTTTACCCATTCGGTGGATAACAGCCAAGCGTGCTTAATCCTTTTTTTAAAAACTGAATTTTATAAAAAGGATTTAGCATGTTTGGCCTTAAAATATACCTAAAAAAAAAAACTTTCTTATAAGTTCTTAGATAATCTTAAAAAAAGTTAAAGTTTGACTGCTGTCAGTTTTTCCTGTTTTTTTTTTTTTTTATTTTATCTGATCATCCTAGAAATTTTATTAAAGTGAATGGATTATACTTATTATATATATATATATATATATATATATATATATATATATATATATATATATATATATATATATATATATATATATATATATATATATATATATATATATATATATATATGTATGGAATTTTACTAAGAGGAGGGTTTTGGATGGGGTATCCCTCTCCCAAAAAATTATGTGAGACAGGCATATAAATTATTATAAAATAGGTTTGTTAATATCAATTGATTACAAATTAATAAACACCAGTTTACAAGTTCATTAACACCATTTGAAAGTTAATTAACACCTGTTGACTACAGTCTACAAGTTCATAAACACAGTAGACTAGATTTTAAAACAAGGTGATTCAACACACAAATACCGGAATTTAGCTCACGTGCGAAAACGGCAGCCAATTTGATTAAGTTTTAAAACGTTTTGATTGAAACTACCAAAACGCACTCGTTCGAGTAAAAAAAAAATAATTGAAAATCTGGTGGGGGTAATGCATTACCCACATTACTCCCCCCCCCCCCAACCAAACCCTCAGTCGATGTAGCAGCACTCCCTTGCGAGTCAGGCTATTTTTCAGTCGATGTAGCAGCACTCCGTTGCGATTCAGGCTATAAGATAGTCGATGTAGCAACACTCCCTTGAAGCAGCAGGCTATAAGAGAGTCGATGTAGCAACACTTACGCATATAAATGTTTTTTAATAAAACAAAAACAAAAACACCACTAATTAAAAAAAACTTTCTAGTCATTATTTGAAACAACTAGGTCTCATGTACTTGTTTATATTGTCCATTTTTTCTTTTAAAAAAAATTTAATGAGAGGGTTAAAGCTTTCTTATAGCCTAAGTTTCGAAAAAATCTGATGTAATGTTATGCAAATTTTATGTTAAAAGTATTTAAGTAAATTAGTGTAGCAAATTGTTAACTAAAACTCAAGAACTTTAAATCGATTATTTTTTTACCGCTCACTCAAATGTATTATATAAATAGTAGGGTGTGGAACAAACTTACCCTGACCCGTATCGTAAGAGTTTTCACAGTTAGTATATTGTAATACATATTATTCGAACGTAATTGAATATATTTATTATAAAGTTCGAATATATTTATTCGAATATATTTATTCGAACTAAAAAAATCAAATTGAATAACAAACACAACTACACGAGTTTGAGTAAACTTTGTGCTGGTAGAAAGAGGAATAGCTCAGTATAGAAATGGTTTAATTATAGCTATAACTTTATTAGAAATACAAGAAATGTTTATCCTACACAAGAAAGAAATACAATTATTATTTAAAGAACAAGAAAAGGTATTTGTTGGTTTACTTAGCGATAACTTAAAAATACTGAATGCACGCTTGGATAATTTTGAAAAAAAAATTATCGGATTACGATAAAAAAATTCACTTGTTGGAAAACGATGTAAAAGACTTAAAAGAAAGTTTAAACTTTCATGAAAATTTAATAGACCAAAAGATAAAAGCTGCTAAAGAAATTGAAACCCCGAATATTATTAATATTTTTAACGAAAAATGTAGAATCTCCGAAGACAGGTCGAGGAGAAATAACTTAAGGATAGTTGGAATTCCTGAAAATGCAAATGAAAGCTGGGATGAAACAGAGGAAAAGGTTCAAAATTTATTATGCAATAAATTAGGAGTTAAAGGAATTGAAATTGAAAGGGCGCATCGAGTTGGCCCTAAAAAAGAAGCTCAATCTCGAACCATTATATTAAAATTATTGAGATTCAAAGACAAATCAAACATCCTAAAAGAAACACATAAACTAAAAGGACTAAGCATCTACGTAAATGAAGATTTCTCGCAAGAGACGGCAAGCCTTCGTAAGAAGTTATTTACAGAAGCGAAAAAAAGAAAATCAAAAGAAGAAAACGTTATTGTCAGGTATGATAAACTTATTATATTAAAAAAAAGGTTTACAATAAGACGAAATGATACTGTTAGAAAACAATTTTAATCTTAATCTTGCATATTTTAATAATAACAATGGCTAACAAATTTAATGCGACAAATTTTTTTGAAATTTTTAATAAACAAAACACAATTCTTTTGAATAATGACATTGATCCAGATGTAAACTTTTTTGAGGACGTCATAATCAACTCAAACTATTTTGATATTGAGGAAGTTTCTAACCTCATGAATGCGTCACAATCTTTATTTTCAACATTAACTTTAAACATATCCCTATCGGCACATCTAGTTTCTTTTTCGGAAATAAAACCTATATAGGCACGTGTTTTTCACGATCCAGGCGTAAACCAAAAGCACGTGTTTATTACGGGCAGTTTTACTAGAGTTTAACACGTGTTTTTTGAGGTTTTAAAGTCAAATTTAAATGTTGCATGTTTTTTTCAGTGGTTTCACATTCCTTACGGAAAGTTATTAAAATAGAATACTACGTTTCCATAACGGTGAAACCATTAATACTTTAACTGGTATTTATGGTAAATAGTAATAGTTAATTTCACGGAATAAAAACCTTTTAGGATACGTGTTATTCTTTTTGTTTTAGAAGGTTTTAAAAACGCAACACAAACCAAGCGTAACTATTTTCTGAGTTGTGCCGGCTGGGTACGTAGTATGAGTAAAAACTTTGAAAATTTTAAATCAATGCTAAAAAATATAAATTTTGAGTTTATGGTAATATGCTTAATCGAAACATGGTGCAAAAGTGAAAAAAATAACTTTCAAATTCCAGGTTATAAAGCTATTCATCAAACTCGAGGTGGTGGCGTTGGTGGCGGTGTATGCATTTTTATTCACGAGTCAACCCATTATCAGAAAATAGAAATTCTTAGCATTCAAAATGCGGATTATGAATCATTAACTATTGAATTACTTAACCACAATAAAAAAAACGTATTAGTAACTGCTTTGTATAGACCACCAAGCGGAAATAAAAAATATTTTCAAAAACACTTAAAATGGTATTTAAAAAAAGTAAAAAATAAACAAATTTACATCACGGGGGACTTTAACTTAAATCTTCTTAATGTTAAAATTGATAACGACGTAAATCATTTCTTAAACTTACTTTTTCAATACAACATTCTTCCCTTAATTAACAAGCCTACTCGTGTAACTCTTCTAACTAAATCTCTCATTGATAATATTTTTACTAACATTTTCACAACATGCAACATTCAAAGTGGAATCATAAAAAGCGATATAAGCGACCACTTTCCAATTTTTTTTATATCTGATTTTTATATAAAAGAAAAAAAAAGCAAAGTACTAACGGAAATAAAAAGGCAGATTACTGAATTTAATATCAAGGAATTTAGAAATCATTTACTCAAAGTAAACTGGAAACAACTACATAATTGTAAAGATACAAATAAAGCTTATGCATTTTTTTACGAGTTTCTTAATGCGTACGACAAAGCGTTTCCGATGAAGGAAATTAAAACCAAGTGTAAAAACCTACAAAGTCCATGGATTACAAAAGGACTTATTAAATCTTCTAAGAAAAAACAAAAACTCTATGAAAAATATTTAAAAATAAAAACTTATCAAAACGAAAAAAATATATAAAACTTACAAAAACCTGTTTGAAAACTTGAAAAAAAAAGCTAAAAAAAATTATTTCTCAACTTTATTACAAAATAATATTGGAAATAACAAAAAAACTTGGGATATAATAAAGGAAGTGATAGGAAAAGAAAAGAAAACTCGTGGTAATTGTTTACCGAAATATTTATATACTGAGGATGAAAGAACAATAACTAGTGAAAAAAAAAGATATTTCAAACAGTTTTAATAACTTTTTTATAAACGTGGGTAAAAACCTAGCAAACAAAATAACTCCAGGAAAAAAAATTTTAAATCATATTTAAAAGAAAACGACTATGTAATGGATGAGCTTGAGGTATCGCCTGATGAACTTCGGTTTGCTTTTAATATGATAAAACCAAACAAAAGCGCAGGCCTTGATGGTATAAGCCCTAAGGTTGTTAATGAAGTTTTTGATATTATTGAGAACCCCTTACTTATTATTTTTAATCTTTCATTTAAAAATGGCGTTTTTCCTGATCTCTTGAAGCTAGCGAGAGTAGTTCCAATATTTAAGGATGGTGATATCTCAAAGTTATCTAATTACAGACCTATTTTAATACTCCCATGTTTTTCTAAAATTCTAGAGCGAATAATGCATAATAGGCTTTACAACTATCTCACAACTTACAAAGTCTTAAATAATAATCAGTACGGATTTAGAAAAGGACACTCGACAGAACATGCAGTAATTAAATTAGTTAAAGAAATATTAAATGGGTTTGAAAACAACCAATATACTCTTGGGGTGTGTATTGACCTCTCTAAGGCCTTTGATACTGTGGACCATGATATTCTTCTTAACAAACTTAAAATTTATGGAATCAAAAATAATAATTTTAAATGGTTTTGTTCCTATCTAAAAAATCGCAAACAATGCGTATCTTATGACAAAACCTACACTAAATTAGAAAACATTACCTGCGGAGTTCCACAGGGATCTATTTTAGGGCCTTTGTTGTTTATTATTTATATCAACAATATTTACTTATCATCTAGTATACTAAACTTTAATCTTTTTGCTGATGACACTCAAGTTTTTTATACTCACTCTAACATTAAGAAAATCTTTACCACTATGAATAGTGAACTTGATAACCTTAATGAATGGTTTAAAGCCAACAAACTCTCTCTGAATCCTACTAAAAGCAAATATACTCTCTTTTCTAAATCTGAAACGCTGCCTTTAAAGCTCCCGGATATTTTAATAGAAAAAACCAAGTTACAACGGACATACTGCGTTAAATTCTTAGGCGTTTTAATCGATGAGCAAATAAATTGGAAAGAGCATATTAATCTAATAGAAAATAAAATTTCAAAAAGTATTGGAATCATGTATAAAACTAGATATATGTTGGATAAAAACTGTTTAAAATCTATTTACTTTTCATTTATTCATAGCTATATTAGTTATTGTAACATTGCTTAAGCAAGCACTTATCCGTCAAGACTAACTTGTATCTTAAAAAAACAAAAACAGGCAAGCCGCCTTATATTAAATGTTAATAAATACGCCAGCGCCAATCCGCTGCTTCGTAAGCTTGGAGTACTGAATGTTTACCAACTAAATATCTATAATATTCTTTTATTCATGTTCAGATTAAAATATCATATGCTACCTAATATTTTTGAAGACCTTTTCTTTATTATAGATCATAAATATCATACAAAGCATTCATTGCTTAATTATCAGGTACCAAAAACTTTGTTAAAACAATCTGAATTCTCAATAATTTACCGAGGGCCACATTTGTGGAACTCATTTCTCCTGAATTTTTTATTTACGAGGGCCACATTTGTGGAACTCATTTCTCCTAAATAATAGTAAAACTACAGCTTCAATCCAAACTTTTAAAAGTATCTTAAAAAAATAGTTACTTGATTATGACGTATCTCAAATATTATTTTCTTTCTAATCTTTATTTTGTCCTCTTTTATTTTTATTTCGTTAACTTTTCTTTTTGTTTAAAAAGCGGCATCACACTTTATATCATTATTTATCTTTATATTTGTATTGTATTTGGGAAAAAAAAAAAAAAAAAAAAAGTATTTAATATTATTTTACTGAGATTGTAATATATATATAAACATGTGTATGTGTATATGTGAAAGTGCATCTGTATATATGTATATGTATGTATGTGTACGTGTATGTATGTGTATGTGTGTATAAGTATATATATATTTTTTCTTATATGATGGGTAATTTTTATTTTTTTTTTTTTTATTTTTTTTTGGTTTGATATGTAAATGATACAAAGGGGCTGGATGATAAGAATTTTGTCTTCAATACAAAGGGGCTGGATGATAAGAATTTTGTCATATCCTAACTCAAAATGTATATATTGTAAATAATTTATTACAAATATGACGAAAATAGCTGTAAAAAAAAAAAAAAAAAAAAAAAAATTAAGATGGATCATCCGACTAATCAGTATCTTTAGTCTAACTGAATGGTGAAAAAGTATGCAATACAAAGTTTTTTCAAAAGAACCCAAAAAATATTAAGGTTTGTTTATCTGTTTGTGGAGGTTTTTTTGAAACTTTGAAACAAGCGACTCATTTTATGATTTTATAGTAAACATTCAATAACGTATACAAGCTTACTTATAGATAGTTTGAAAAAAAGATAGATAAATAAATCTAAAAATAGTAATAAATATTAAAACAGGTTAGGCTAGAAGAGTCGAAATTAAAGAAATTAATTGAAAGAAAGCATACGGGGATAAAGAGAAAAGCAGTGGATGAAAGTTGGAAACGTCTATTAGAAACGTCTTCAAATCAGAACAAGACGTTGTTTCAATGCATTTGTTGTAGAAATACCGTATGGCCTGCTTATTCATACAAGCATAAAATTCAACTACACTTATTTAAATGATGTATTCCAGTGACATTGGTGGATAATGCAAGTTTGTCAATACTTTGGATTCTAAATTTTCAATGCCTGCTTTTGCCGATATTACTAGCCTGCGAAATAAAGAACTAGCTGTTTTAACAAGAAAATTTTGTGACCTCTGAAAGCAGGCGCTCTACAATAAGCCTTAATGACTCGATTAAAAAAGTACTTATTACGTCCTTTTTAGGAAACTTGTTTTTCTTTTTCACTAGAAATCCAAAAAACGGATAAATGCTCTGCATAATTTGTATCTTGTGAAACATCCACATACAGATGAACAAATTTCTGATTGCTTTGAAAAATGCCCAAAATATGGGAATATTTCCAGAAAAAAAAATATTATAAGAAATGGTCGCTGATCACAGTCCTACCACGTATGTTGGTAATATTTTTCCAAAGCTTTAGCAGATTTGCAAGTTTTTCCAACTAATCCACGTACCTTCAAAAGTAAGCCATGATATTTACCATTATATGTAAGTTTTACGACTAGCAGTTTAACATGTGCT